GGGGGGGGGGGAGGGGGAGACGACAGTGGCCTCAGAAACTCATTCTGGTTTGTCTGAGCCAGAGAACCACATCGCCCAGCCCTCTCCACTTGTCCTTCACTCTCCTGGAAGTTCATGGATATGCAGCGGAGCAGCAGCTATTACATTCATCCTGCAGAAACCAGGCACACTTGGGCCTCCAGAGGCTGGGTGCAGGGCCACAGGGAGTCTGCTTCAGGGCACATGGTAACCCACATTTCCTCAACCCCTGCAGCAGAGGGTACCACCCACAAGGTCTGGGACAGACAAGAAGGACCAACTCCCAGCAGTTCACAAAAGGCTCTACCCAAGACAGCAGAGACAGCAATGAAGGGCTCCCAGTCTGGCTGCTGATTAGCAAGCAAAGGGCTCCCTGGGGCCCAGGCCTCCCAGACCAGAGTGTGCTTTTGATCCAGTGGGTCCTTCCCCAGGGCCCTGATGTCTCTAGCTCTGGCCAGGGAGGAGCTGAAGAAAGAGGGTGGACAGGGGCTCTGGAAGCAGAGGAAGCTCGGCAGCAAGGCGCCACCACAGCCTGGACTCTCAGTCTGACTGTGACCAACTGGGCTGCTGCTGCTGCCACTGTGGTGCTTAGATGTCTAAAGACAGTTATGAAGAGGCACAAGGCCTGGAGGAATGTGGAGGGAGATGCAGAGAAGGGAGAGGAGAGACTGCCAGGTTGTGGCTGTCATGCCAGCTGGTGGCACAGGGGGCTCAGGCTAGACACAGGAAAAGGTGGTCTCAGGAGCCTCCCACAGTCCCTGCGACACACCCTCAGAAAAGCCCCATCACAAGGCCACGCATACAAGATGAACAGAATCTGTGCTCCTGCCCTTGCCACCAACACCATGGGGACATGACAGTGCTGAGAGGCCCTGCCTGTGGCCATCCTGACGGACGAGACCCCATAGCTCCACAGGCAGCACCTGCCCAGCCCAGGAGCACAGGGGGAGAGAGCGGCCCCTCTTGCCTGCTGGGGACACCAGGCAAAGTGGCCAGCTCACTGCAGAGACCTGACAGAGGGCCCCAGGCGGCACCGCCCTCAGTCCACACGGTCACACCGCAGCACGCCCACAGCACAGACAGACATAGAACAGAACCCCACACATGCTATTAGAAAAGGGAAAAACAGAAGACGGCGACCGTAGCTAAACTGCTTTAAATACTGCATGCTACGCACTTCACGTGTCAGGGGTTGGTGAGCAGGCGGGCACAGAGGCAGGAGGAGCCCTTTCCCCACAGCCAGAACGGCTCCCTTCCCACCTCTGTGACTACAGTTCATGATTCTAAGGTTGAAGTGGCCAGGTGCTGATTGATCCGCAAATCACAGCTTCTCCTGAACTTAATTGAACCCGTCGGTGTGGTAGCTGGGGTGAGAGTCGGCCGTGAGCTGGGTGGTCTCTGTGGCGGACGCTGGCTGTATGACAATCGGCGTGTCTGTGGCCTCTGAAAAGCAATCACATGCGTGTTCAGCACACAAGGACGGTGGCCTCACGAGTGCACAGTGAGCCCCGTCAACACGTCTTCCTGTGACAATGCTCTGTAGCCGGGTCACTCTGCTGGGGTCAGAGGTGGCAGGACAAGTGCTGGGAGGGGAGAGGCTATTTGCTGACCTCCCCCCACACGACGTTCCTCGTCACCTCAGGCCACCACTAGCCCACGGCCCGCCCCACATACTTGGTCCCCGGGCACTACGGCTACCGCAGCTGGCGGGTGGGGACAGCCCTCTGCGTCTGCTTTTACCTCCGTGTCCACGTTCACACCTCAACGGGCCCAGCTGCCACACAAACATCCCGGCACCGTGTCAGTGCCCTCCTGTTTGACAAGACAGGTTGACACGGTTGAGGGCCCATTCTGGCGCCGCCCCACGCACCCAGGCTGGGCCCTGGGCGCGCACTCACCCCGCTCATCCGACTGCAGCTGTGCCTCCAGGTCCTCGGGGGACACGTAGAACTCGGTCTCCTCGCCCTCGGGTGCCTTGGGCTTGCACTTTCCGCAGCAGCAGTTGAAGCAGCAGCACAGGCAGCAGCAGCAGTAGCAGCAGGTGAGGAGCCCGCAGAAGACAAACAGGGCCTGGGGGCGAGGCAGGTGCTGGCTGGAGCTGCTCAAGACCAGGGACCCCCTCAGGGCACCCACTCCACACCCCTAGTCACCCAGTGAGAGGAAGAGACAGAGTGCTCCTATTCCCTTCCAGATGGAGGTGTGTAAGAAAGGACACGGGGGTCAGGAGAGACAGAGTGGCCAGGTGTGTAAAGAGTAACAATTTACAAAGGGAGGACTGCGAGCTGCCCAGGTAACAGTGATGGGGCTGCCTACAGTGCAGCGCCCTGGCATCAGCCACATCCTTTGTCCTTACCCATGACAGGGGCTTTGAATAAAGGAGAATGTTAAAAAATAAAACAAGTAAATACGTCCAAATTGTCTCAAGTTAGATTTTACATGAGTCTTCCAATAACAAAAAGATATCTGTGGCTCAGCTGTCGTGGCTCAGCAGTTGAGCATCAACCTAGGATCCAGGAAATCGCGGTTCGATTCCTGGTCAGGACACATGCCCAGGTTGTGGGCTCCACACCCAATCGGGGGCATGTAGGAGGCAGGTGATCAATGACTCTCATCATTGATGTTTCCACCTCTTTCTCCCTCTCCCTTCTTCTCTCTGAAATCAATAATAAAAAAAAGACATCCCTGCTCATGATGATGAGTTCCTATCTCTCTCTCTGAAAACTTAGGGCAGTTCAGGAAAATTGTTAAGTTGACAGGCAGACTACTCTGCCTGCACTCCCATGGGATAAGCGGGGCTGGCAGCTTGCCAGCACTGTCAGGCGTGCAGAACACACAACCATGCGGACCCAGTAAACCCAACACCCTGCCCACCTCGCCGGTCAGCTCCATGCCCCTCACCTTGGCCCACCAGCTGGACAGCACAAAGTAGGTGTTCACGTTTTCCTCCCCGAACTGCTCGGCCACATAGAGCCCCAGCGAGCCGTACTTGTCGTAGATGTTTCTCTTTGTGGCGTCCGTGAGGATGGCGTGCGCGTTGTTGATCTCCTTGAACTTTTCTGCAGCCTCTGGGTTATCGGGGTTCTTGTCTGGATGATATTTCAAGGCCAGTTTCCTGCAAACAAAAACCATTTCTTGGCTTTCTGCTTCACGTCGCCTGCTGGATGGGGGCTCCAGTGGAAGAAGCGTGTACCCATTACCCGCGTTTGCCTCCTCACCACGGAATTCAGGAAGTCAGGTCAAGAGAAACCTCTGCCATCAATTCCAACTCTCCACAGTGCGGATGCAAACGCTGCCCTGCCCTCTAGCGTCTGAGCGGTTAACTGCACTTGCTACACACAGTGACAGGCAGGGGTCTGATAAAGGCACTACCGCCTGTTTAATAATCACAACTTCATCAATGAAACCGCACCTAAGGGTTAAGTTCAGGTTGAGCCCGGAGGCTACAGCAGGGCAAGCCCACTGTCACTACCTGTCACTACTGCATGAAACTGAGTCACTCATTCAAAGTCCAACAGCCCCTGCTCAGCAGGTCAGATCTGCTTCCCCACAGGCCTGTCTACTCCAGGGTAGACAGTCTGTGAAAACATTAATGTAACAGTTTTAAGCTATAAGGGAACACACTACATATACAAAAATGTTAAATACTAAGTTGGCCAAGAAAAACTTAAAAAAAAAAATACACGGTGGTTCTTGGTGGCTGCCAATCGCACCCACGAGCTACAAGGTCCTAGAAGTGTGGCCCCCTACCGATAGGACTTTTTAATGTCGTCTGAGGTTGCGTTCTTGTCCAGACCGAGGACATGGTACAGCGATTCTCCAGAGGTAGAGAGCGAGCGCTGTCGCTGGTCGGCCATGGTAGGCTAGTCTACAAGAAAAATGCAAAGAAAAATCAGAAAGTATAAAGTGTACAGGCACGGCACTCAACCACAGCACAGAAGTGTGGGCAGGGGTCCCACCAGGGTAAGGGCAGTTTTCAATCGTGCATACAGAGGGCTATAATACAGCTACCCTATGTCACCGGTAAAAATTAAGTGGATTTATTGTAACCCCTCGAGCAGCCTCTGAGTAAAAAAATGCAGAGAGGTATAGCTAAAACACTAAAAGAAAAGTGAAGAGATTGTCAGAGTGGATAAAAATGTAAGACCCAACTATATGCTTCTGCTAGAGACACACTAAAAAAACTATCAGAATAAAGGAAGACAGAATTAAGGGGAGAGACAGAAAACTCCACAGCCACAAAAATCTTAATACTAACACCCCTTTCTTTGAAATGGACAGAACAACAAAAGAAAAAAAACCCAGGAACCAACAATCTGAAGAACACTATCAACCACTACAACCTAACTGATTCTTACAAGATGTCAACATCTACAGAACCTACACTTTTTAGAAATCGCAACAGCCCATGAAAAGACACTCAAGTCCACCAGTCATTTAGGAACAAGACACTTGCACGTCTACTAAAACAGCTGTGAGAAAGCGCTGGGCACACCCAGTACTGCTGAGGATGCGAAGCCACATGAGCACATGGTGCAACCCCTCAGTCTGGCAGTGGTTCGATCACTGGCCCTAGGACTGAAGGGTCCCTGGTTCGATTCTGGCCAGGGGGACGTATCACTGAGTTGCAGGCTCAATGGGGCCAGGGCGCATGCAGGAGGCAACCAATCAATGTGTCTCTCTCACATATCTCTCTCTCTCACATATCTCTCTCTCTCTCTCTCTCTCCTCTCTCTCTCCCCCCCTCCCTCCCTCCCTCCCTCCCCTGTCCACTCGCTCTGAAAAGCAATGGAAAAAATATCCTCAGATGAGGATTAAAAAGCCCCAAAAAACCTCACCCACCACGGCTCTTACCTACAATAATGAAACCTATGCCCACATGGACTTATACAGAGGTTCGCAATGGCTTTATTCACAACATCCAAACTCTGGAAACAACCCAAATGTCCATCAGTAAGTGAATGAAGGAACAATAGGGGTCTATTCAAGCAGTGGGAAACACTTGGCATAAAGGGAACATGCTGCTGACAGACACAACACCACGGCCGACACACAAGCCCTGTCTTGCAAAGGGCCAGGCCTGAGAGCCGGTGAGGGCCCCACAAGAAGCTCCCGCACACATGGCATCATCCAGAGGGGAGACGGATGGCGGCTGCCTGGACGTGGCAGACGGACAGGATTACAAAGGGCTCAGGAAGCTCAGGAACACTGGTGCACACCCACCACAGAACCCAGTACGGACCATTTACTCAGCAAAACACAAAGCTGCGGAGGCACAGATGACATAGGCCTCACAGAGGTTCACATGGAGGGGAGAGGTGCGAAGGGGCAGCAGCAGGGCCCTATGGTGTTGGTGTGTTCAGCATCTTGGCCCTAGAGGTGGACACACAAACCACACAGGTGAGAAACTACAGCAGTAACACACACACAGTCAAGTTAAAGTGGGGAAATCTGAGTTACATCAGTATCCTAGTTGTGATACTAAACTAGTTTTGCAAAAAGCTACCACTCTGGGAAACAAGGTAGTGACTGTGTTATTTCTTACAAATACATGTGAATCCATAATGATCTCAATTAAAATGACAATTAACAGCAAATTTCTGGACCAGCTCAAGGCTACTTGCTTGGTCTAGACCATTGAATTAAGTCTGAAGTAGAGACAACAGGGTGTATTGCCATCAGCAGCGAAGGCCGGATCTACATCACCAGCCACAGGGAAAGGCTCCTTCTAAACTAGTGAGCAACTAAGTTACCTTCCTCGCAGCTGAAGTCAGCAAACAATAAGAAACTGCCTTTGCAGGAAATNTCAGATGAGGATTAAAAAGCCCCAAAAAACCTCACCCACCACGGCTCTTACCTACAATAATGAAACCTATGCCCACATGGACTTATACAGAGGTTCGCAATGGCTTTATTCACAACATCCAAACTCTGGAAACAACCCAAATGTCCATCAGTAAGTGAATGAAGGAACAATAGGGGTCTATTCAAGCAGTGGGAAACACTTGGCATAAAGGGAACATGCTGCTGACAGACACAACACCACGGCCGACACACAAGCCCTGTCTTGCAAAGGGCCAGGCCTGAGAGCCGGTGAGGGCCCCACAAGAAGCTCCCGCACACATGGCATCATCCAGAGGGGAGACGGATGGCGGCTGCCTGGACGTGGCAGACGGACAGGATTACAAAGGGCTCAGGAAGCTCAGGAACACTGGTGCACACCCACCACAGAACCCAGTACGGACCATTTACTCAGCAAAACACAAAGCTGCGGAGGCACAGATGACATAGGCCTCACAGAGGTTCACATGGAGGGGAGAGGTGCGAAGGGGCAGCAGCAGGGCCCTATGGTGTTGGTGTGTTCAGCATCTTGGCCCTAGAGGTGGACACACAAACCACACAGGTGAGAAACTACAGCAGTAACACACACACAGTCAAGTTAAAGTGGGGAAATCTGAGTTACATCAGTATCCTAGTTGTGATACTAAACTAGTTTTGCAAAAAGCTACCACTCTGGGAAACAAGGTAGTGACTGTGTTATTTCTTACAAATACATGTGAATCCATAATGATCTCAATTAAAATGACAATTAACAGCAAATTTCTGGACCAGCTCAAGGCTACTTGCTTGGTCTAGACCATTGAATTAAGTCTGAAGTAGAGACAACAGGGTGTATTGCCATCAGCAGCGAAGGCCGGATCTACATCACCAGCCACAGGGAAAGGCTCCTTCTAAACTAGTGAGCAACTAAGTTACCTTCCTCGCAGCTGAAGTCAGCAAACAATAAGAAACTGCCTTTGCAGGAAATACCGAGGCGGGCTTCAGTGATGCCCCTAAAAAGGAGGCTTCAAATCTCTCTCAAAAAAATCTGTCTAGCAGGAATTCGAAAGGCAAAGAATACAGCCAACTGAGAAAAAAGTCAATTACAGATGAAAGAAAATAGCCAAACAAGAGCTGAGACAAAAACTTGTGTGCAAAATAAGGCCCCCCTGAGTGCCAAGGCCACACCTACACCCCCAGGAAAACTGAGACTCCAACACCAAAAAGTTCCAACTGTGGCGAGAGAAAGATTTCCAGCCTAGAATTCTACTGTCAACCAGTTTGAGGTCAAAAGAATGCAATGCAGTGTCTGAGGACAGGGCTTCTCTGCACCCCACAGGACACTCTGTGGAGGAAGGAAGCCAAGGAGGAAGCTCGAGGGAGTGGAGGGGCTGGGGCCCATGGCAGGGACCAGGCGCTGCTCACACTCTGCCTCCTCCCCAGGCCTCATTACAACACAACATGCCAATGTTAAGTGACAGGACACTAACAACAGACAGGAGGAGGGAGCAGGGGTAGCCAGCCAGGGTGTGCCGGGCCCCTCAACTCCCTCCAGGGTCCACCTGGACCACCGGCCTGGTGCCTTGAGTCCAGGGGTCAGGGCTCCCCGCCACCTCATGAGGCAGGTGCTATGTCAATATCACCGCTGAAGAGACGGAAGCACAGAGGGGGGACGTTGGGATCTGAACTAAACAGAAGGGCATGACCTTTTGGCCTAGGGACACCAGCTAAGCCACCTGGTCCCTTCCTGAGCACAGAAAATAAAACAAGTCTGCTTCCAGCGAGAGACGATGTGTTGGGATCAGGATTCGATGATTCCAAGGCCAGTCTGGGAAAGTCAGTGCAGGGCTCTGGGTGTCCTTCATCACTGTGGATGGAAACAAGGACATCCACTGCATGGCTGGGCGAGCACAGAGTCAGGGGACCCTCGGTGAGATGCAGCATTTTGGTTGATGTTGACATGGCGTATTCTGGCCAACTCTCCACTACTAAGTACTGGACCATTTTAACCCACACAGAGAACCACAGCCCCACAAGTTTAACTCTACCCCTATGTCACTGTTTGGTCTTTGGGAACCGTTCTGAAGACCTCAAGTGAGACAAAATGTATTTTATTCTCACTTACTCAGGGCCTGCTAAATACTTGGCTGCTAGACCCCACCCACAGGAAAACATCGATAATTAATACTTTTACATCTGCTCTATAAAAGCAACTAACTACATCTAAAACTCTAGAGGTAGCCAGCTACTTAATCTGCGTAAAGAGAATCCTCCCGATGTCAGCGAGGGCACCGGGTTTCTGAATCCCCTGGTCCCAGGCAGAACCCCCTAAGGAAAACCAGCCACACCCAGCTCAGTCACTAGGTTAGCTGGTCACTCCGGTTCATTACTTGCTTCTTAATAGGTACAGATCACAGACTTTCAAAACCTTAGAATTTTCTTAGTTTCAATGAATTGCCAATCAAACTTTAAAGGCTAATACTTACTTAATAAGAAAAAACATCTCCTCAAACCCAGAGTTTAAAAACAAAGCTGTTGCCCTTCATCACTGAGGGTGACAGCCCTCTGTCTCTCTGAACTCAAGCAGCAAGATCTGTAACAGCCCCACACAGGGAGCAACATCAAACATTTCTGGCACAATCATATTATAACCAGGCAAGTTCTCCCAGACAGGGGAGCAGACAAGTGCTCACGTGGATGTGAGAGCTGATGGAACAAAGAGCTTCCAGGATAACCACTTGGTGGTCAAATCCAGCCAGTGAAAAAACAAACCAAAGAAGTTAAAATGGAAACCGAGGTGAGTCTGCAGGCAGGTGCTGAACCCTGGAAAAGCAGGGACCAGGCTGGAGAGAGGCAGGAATGATGGCGCCCAATCCAAATATAAACATCTCGACCTAGAAGGACAGAGGATGCAGTGGGGGAAGGCAGAGCCCCCGCTACCCAGCAGGGTGAGTGACGCTGTCTGAACCTGAACCTGTTCCCTCATTAGGGGTGTAGGTTTGGCTGTGAGGAGGGAGCAATTTCTTCATATCAACTCGATATAAATTTGTTTGCCCAGTTCAAGCAAATGCTTTTATTTAAAACGTTGCATGGATATCTCTAGATGGTGTCTGGTAGTTTCTGGAAAGAAGAGGGGGCCAGAGGCTCACACACTTCCTCTTTGTGCAGACCACTTCTTTCCCTAGCTCTATACCACTGCTCGAGTGTTAACATCATGTTCTTTTCTAGGATTTGCTGTATTGTTTGAATTTTTAATAAATCCATGTTTCATTTTATAAAATGACAAAGTTGTCATTGAGAAAACAAGCAGTACCAGGACACTGCCTCACAGTGCTTCCAGATGTCTGCAGCAGGGTGGCTTCAGTAACAGTACCTGTGAGATCACCTGAATGTGTGGGGCTGTCAGAGAACGGAGAAGCCCAGTTTGTCCCATGTGGGACCCTACTCTCCAATAAAAAGGCAACAGAGCAACACAGCAATGGAGTAGAGTGATCCTACACTCAATGTTACACAAACGAGCCAGACACAGAATGTTCCATTTATACAAAGACTAAGAACAGGAAAAACCATCTACTGTGAAGAGAACCTTCTAGGGTGATAGAAGTAGTCTGTGACTTAATTTCACAAGTACACACGTGCACCAAAACTCAGTGAACTTGACAGT